GCCAGCTGTGCTGAGTTATTTATTAGGCTTTCTTTTTTCCAAGTTGCCTTTTCCTTAAATAAAGTGTTTGTTTTACTTTCATACATTTAAAAATCTCTCTTGTCTCCTGCCCATCACTTCCCACAGTTGCAGAGCAAGCACCCTGTATTATTCCAGAATATACTCAATACTATTGAAAGCCAGGTGAACTAAGGCCAGTGATGCCAGTGGTGCCCACAGAAGAGCAAGGTTCTAGTAGAGCAAACAGTCTATCCACAGTCAGATCTCTTCTTTGTTTCCTTTAGTTCCCAAAACTGGATTCTACCTCCACTGTAATATTAAAAGCTCATCAATGGTAATCTACAGTAACCTGCTTTGACTTCTAAAGTCAAACTGTGTTCACGTGCTCTCCTCCTGCCATTTGGATCATTTCTCTAGTCTCATCATTAATTATTCTACCACAGATGTGACAACCCTGGGCTACCCTCCTTGGAAGTAGCACCCAACCACAAATGTGACAATCCTGGGCTGCCCTCCTTGAAAGTAGCACCCAACCGCAAATGTGACAATCCTGGGCTGCCCTCCTTGAAAGTAGCACCCACTTAAGACACCTCCCTTCCTCCTCCTTATGAGCCCCTGGAAAGCCACCAGCAAGATAGAAAGCTCAAAGGATTGTCTTTATAAATTTAACATTTCCAGATCTGTGAATCTAATGTTGGGAGTCTGAGTTGTGAGTTGACTAACAAAATTTCCAGAATCCAATAATTCTATAGTGAAGATCATCAAATAACAAAGCCCAACAGTAAACAGAGGATTTCAGTCATAAATATGGTTCCTCACTCTAAAATATGAACAAAGAGTCACAATTCACAAACAGGAACTCTTAACAAAACGTAAAAACAAAAAAATGAAGCAAGAGACTTAGAGAAAATAAGGCTAGAAGTAAAAGAAACATTGAAGTAAAAATTATAGTTAGTCTTCAGAAAGAAAATAGATATCCATGCAACAAGAACAGTAGGCTATTGTAAAAGAAAAGATCAACCAGAAAATGTTTAAGAAGACTGTGAGGGTATTAGATAGGGAACAACCATACTGAAAAACTGCACAGACTTCTAGAGGATAAATGTAAGTAACATCTAGGAAGTATATAGTGGGTAACATGATACAATGTAAGAAATAAATGATAAGAAAATTCAGGCACCAAGAAGATCCAAAGCCCTATAAAGGAAATTTTAGTGAGAGCTCAGTAAATAAACAAGGCAATTACAAAGATAAAATGCCGTATGTATTTGCAGAACTGAAAGGGTTTTTTTTTTTTTCACAATAGCCAGGAAATGGAATCAGCATAGATGTCCATCAACTGATGAATGGATAATAAAAATATGGCACATAAAAACAATGGAATAATATTCACTGGTAAAAAAAAATCAATGAATTTTTAGATGGTTGGAGCTGGAAATAATCAGTCTGAGTAAGGGAACTATAGTAGTTTGAATGATACTAGGTTCCCATAGGCTCATATGTTTAAATACTTGGTTCACAGTTTTGGTGGAACTATTTGGGAAGGATTAGGACATGTGACCTCCTTGGAGAAGGTGTGTCACTAGGGGTGGACTTTGAGGTTTCAAAAGACCATGCCAATTCTGGTCTCTCTCTCCCCTCCCCTCCCCTCCTCTCCTCTCCTCTCCTCTCTCCTCCCCTTCCCTCCTCTCCTCTCCTCTCCCCTCCCCTCCCCTCCCCTCCTCTCCTATCCTCTCCTTTCCCCTCCCTTCCCCTCCCCTCCTCTCCTCCCCTCTTCTCCCCTCTCCTCCTCCCCTCTCCTCCCCTCCCCTCCTTTCCTCTCCTCTCCTCTCCTCTCTTCTCCTCTCCTCTCTTCTCTTCTCTTCTCTTCTCTTCTCTTCTCTTCTCTTCTCTTCTCTTCTCTTCTCTTCTCTCTGAGAACCATGATGAGAAATGACTCTCAGCTATTTCTCTAGCACCATGCCTGCCTTCCTACCTGTCACCATAATCTCTGCTATGATGATAATGGATTAACACTCTGAAACTGTAAGCAAGCCCTGAATTAAATGCTTTCCTCTATAAGCTTCTTTGGGCATGGCGTCTCTTCATAGCAATAAAATGGTAAGTAAGACAGGAACCAAGGTCCAAAAGACAAATACAACATGTTCTCTCTTAAATATGAGTAATAGCTTTGAATCTTTGGATATATGTTTATATTGAGATTCTTATAGAGGCCATGAAACTAAAAAGGAACCATGGAGGGTAATTCTGTGAGAGGAGATGTAACACAGGTAGTATGAAGGGGAGAGAGTAAATAATGGAACAGGAAGAGTTAAAAGAGGGTAGGAGGGAAAGGTAGAGGGAAGAGCATGGAGAAGGACAGCTATATTGAAGACCTTTGGAAAATGCCATATGCAAACCTACTATTGTACAAAATTCTTAAAATATATACATACGATATATAAAAGGGGTGTAAATGGAGTATTTCTATAATGGGAGGACAAAGCCTCCTCCAGATACCACAAACTACTCAATAAAACACCCAGTGTCAGATATGGATAAATTAGTTCCCGTTAGTATGTTACATATTTCTTGTATACAACTGTAGGTACAGGCAATGACAGCAGCAGTTGACAATAAAACTTTGAACTCTTTTTTATTTATATTTTCCCAGCCTTTCTACTTTGTCTCTTCATTTTAGTGTGTGTGTGTGTGTGTGTGTGTGTGTGTGCATGTGCGTGTGTGTGCGCGCATGTGCGTGTGCATGTGCGTGTGCATGTGCGTGTGCGTGTGTGTGTGTGTGTGTGTGCATATTCTTTCCCTTCCATGGTACACAACAGCACATATGGCTCCTCAGTTTGGCTTTGGGGAAACAATGACCCCCAAAGCTTGTTGATTCCCTCTGTGGGGCTGTTCAAAACATCCAATGCCAAGAACCAGGAAGGGACTTCTAAAGGGTGTCATAGCATCATTTAGACAGAAAACTGGGGTGCTCCCACAATCCTTCAAATTCCTCCTTTAACCATAACTTTCTTGCCTCACCCCAAAACCATATTCTCCACTCAGCACACAGACCACAGCTGTATGAGGTAGAGGAAGCAAAAGAGGAGACTGGTTCATGTCTAGTTTCTGGGTATGTCCCATCTAGTTCAACAGCCTATTAGGAATACCCAAACTTTCATGTTGTCATCTAGAAAGTTGACAGTCAAGAACATTACAATCAAATTACCAAAAGAAAAAAATTACAAAAAGCAATCCTCCCCAACTAGATACCAGTTCTAACAAATAAAAATCTCAGTATCAGAAATGGGACACACACACACACACACACACACACACACACACACACACACACACACACACACACAGAGTCAAAGTTCTGGTCAATGTGGTCCCATAGACCCACCTCAAATACTACTGAGTGGTGAGTACACAGGAAACTAGGCAACATTTCAAACTGGACAATGCTAGCTCCTAGAAAAATATAAAAGAAAGCATTCATATTTGTGAATATTTTCATAGGTGGAAATGTGGAAAAGGTACACATGTATTTAACAGAGAATCACACTATATCCACGGCAAGAGGACAGAAAAAAGCAGAGGTGATTGATTCGTGACAAGGAAGCTTGCATCCTGGAAGCCAGGTTGGGAGCGGTGCACATCTGCACTAAAGCACTAAGCATGCTGAGGCATGAATGGGGACAGAAAGTTTGAGGCCAGTTTGGGCTGCATAGGGTGGTGCAGGAATTATTTAAAACCCCTTCCTGACCCTGCACCATCCAACATAGCCATTTCCTTAGTTGACCCCCCCATACATACCATTTCATTTATGATCTGAATCTGAAGGAGAATGTGCCCTTTGTAAAGACTCAGAAGGGGCTCCCAAAGCACTACTGATTCCACTTCCTTCCCACCAAAAAGCATCTTCAGCAATTAAAAGTTGAAATGAGTGTGCCACACATTTCTCCAACCAGGATGGCCGCTGGTCATCTTTATGGAATGAGAGAAGTGTGGGCTAAAAAGAACCATACAGTCCCAAAATATCTCCCACTGGCCTGAAATTTATTCCACTTCATAAACATGCCTAAATTTCCACCAATTAGAAATTCATTTACAAGCCCCTCTTGTAAAATGTGCAAGAGTGATTAGCTTTATTTGCTGCCATTCTAGAATCTAAAATTAGGACCAGTGGCTGGGCCTAATAAAGAAAAATTGATGGGCTTTCATTTGACAGAAAATGCCTCCTTGTCCTCACTCCTTGTTGGAGGACTAGCAGCTCCTGTGAATTGATAAACAGTTTCTTCAGGTAGAATCTTCTCATCTGGATAGCTCTAAAAGGACAGAAAGTTCCTCTCTATGGTAAATTAAAAGTTGCTTCCTGAATTTCTCAATGGTTTGCCTTAATTCTGCCCTCAACAATACAAAATCTAATCTTCGGCACCATATCAAATATTCTAACCCAGACTTCCTCTTTCCCAAGAGCCCCTGCTGCCTTCTGCCAGGTCTGTCAGTTGAGCAGTATATGAATCTTGAATTGGTAAAAAATAAGACAGAGCATGTGGGGTCATTTCCCCTCCCCCAGAAAATGGTCTTAATTAAGTAGAACTTAGAGGTTATCTTTGACCCAAAATAACCCCAAGTTCTCTGTCTCTCAATGACTATGTACTGTGGTGTATAGAAGGATTTATATTGCTGGAAGAACTAACTAGACACCAGGCGAAGGGGAAAATAAATCAGAGAGAAAGGCCTAAGAAAGTATACTTGGGCTGGTCAGCTCTAGCTGGACAAGGATCAGGGAGTAGGGTATGAGGGATCTGGATGGTGTGTTTGCTGACAAGCAAGAGGCTGTTACTCTGTATTTCTCAATAAAGTTCTGCTCTGGATGTTTTAAAACCTAGTTCTATTTGTGCATCAGTTCCTGAACACTGGGAGACTCTAGTCTAAGCATACTTTCCAGGACATGTGAGTTCTCATTCCCAAATGAAAACTCTATTGACTTAATAGTTTTATGAGAAACCCACCAAAGATGAGCTTGCGAATGCTTGGAAGGCAAAGAACCACCTGATACTCAGGTGGAGACCAAGGCTGACTTTAGGTCTGTAGGAATACCCAGATCCACATCTGGGAATTGTAGCCAGCAGGAGCCCCAGCATGCTGAACGAAGCACATTTCTAATTGAGACAGAGCCCAGGGGCCAAGATTCCAGAGTCATGGTCATTGATCTGTGCTTTCTTGTGCTTTTCAGTAGCAGAATTGTATCTGAAGAGACAACAAATCAGTATCAGGTAAAACTCTCCATAAAGTTGTATTTTTCCTCAAAATGTATTGAAGTCTAGCTGACAAGTGAAAATTATAGGTATTTTAAGTATGCAATGTGGTGATTGAATATATACATGTATATGAGTGTATACATACATACATATACACACATTGTGAACTGAGTATCACAACTAATCCAGTTAACACATCCATTGTCTCACATATGCTGTTTTATATATGCATAGTGAGAATACTTAATATCTATTCTCCTAGGACCTTCCAGGTGCAGAATACAGTATTATAAAGCATAGTCACCACATGTTTTAGATCCCTAGATCTCATTCATACCTATTCCCTTCATCAGCATTTTCCCATGTCCCTCACCCAAGCTCCTGTAAGCACCACAGTACTCTCTGCCTCCCAGTCCAACATTTTAGACCCCACATGAGACCGTGCAGCATTTGTCTTTTGATGGCTGTCAGATTTCACTCAGTGACCTCCAGATAATAACTTCTCACATGCTGCGAAAAACACCAATGATAAGGCTGGCTCCCATAGTACAGCATGAAGGAACATCACCTGCCACATAGGTTGTATTAGTTACCTGAAAAAAGAGAAACTGAAGGAAGGAAGGGTACAACTGGACTTGTGGTTTCAGGGTGTGGGTGGTCCACTATGGTGTGGAAATCACAGAAGCAGAAACAAGAGGCAGCTGGTCGTGTTGCATCTGCTCACAGGAAGCAAAGAACAATAAATGCCAGTACTCAGTTTGCATTTCCCCTTTTATTCAATCCAAGATTCCAGGCCCTGGAATCACATTTAAAGTAAGTCTAACAAGTTCAATTAATGCTATCTAGAAATTCCCACAAACACGGGGCCAGAGGTTCTAGATCTGGTCACACTGATAAACAAATAGAAGCCTCAACCAGGCATGTAGAAAATACATAGAAAATACACAGTGGAAATACGTTTGGGCTGATCACCAGTTGATTCTGAAGACATACTTTTATAGACACTGGAGTCAGAGGAGGAGGTGGGTAAAGAGCATCTCCTAAGGGAGGTAAAATCAGAGACAAAAAGAAGTATGGTTAAGTCTGGAAACAGACTTTCCAAGGTGATCTCACTGAGAGTGGCCTATGTGATGGTCTGGTTCCCCGTGGAAATCAATACAAAGCAGTCAGGATTACGTTCCATCCTATGCCTAAATGTGGGTGTAATTTAGAAAATCTTGGGGGCATTTCTGTAGCTCAGAGAACATTCTGGGTGTTCTTCCACTGTAACATCCATTTTTACACTTACATTGTGTTCCCCTCTAACCCCTAAACAGCAGAACTTTCTTCTTTGATTTAATCTTGGGCTGGGGACACAGCTCAGTGGTAGAGTCCTTGACTACATGAGCAAAATCCTTAGTTCAATCCCCAGTGCTACAAAATAAATCAATCAACAAATAAAAATACTTAACCTGAACTTTAATTACTCTAGGGAACCTTTGTATTTTCTCTAGACAAGCCTAAAGCCCCTGCTATAAGCTATAAAAGTACTTTTACCCCATTTTGAATGTCCCCCTTGAGTACTGTGTGGCTCTATTTTTATAGACTAATATGCCTGGTGCAGAGTAGGTATATAATAAACTAAATGTTAAAAGAGTGTAAAAGAGAAAAGTGAGACAGAGATATCTCTCAGAATACTAATGGGGGGGGGACTGAGTCCATTGGACTGAAGAAAGGATTTAACTGTTATTATCAACTGTAATTAACCACAAGACTGTTAGCAGTGAAGCATCTCCAATGAAGTGATAGAGTTGATAGAGACTGAAAGTTCTATGGCTATTCCTCAGCAAGCCTTGTAACCTCTTAGAGTGCATGTTTGAATCTGTGACAGCATTATGGGTCATTATAGTCTGCAGAAAGTTGAGTCTTCAGAAGAAACACTAAGGCACGCTAGCCAACTGCCAATGACCATGTGTGCATGTTTTCCTTAGGTCAACAAGCCATCAGAAAATTTACCAGCTGATCAAACACCTGAGAGTACCTGGGAGTGACCAGCTGAACCAGTAAAAAGAGAACAACTGACCAGTGAAATAAAATAATCACATACTAAAATAAGCAGTAGTCATTTTAAGCTACAATATTTTTGCAGCAATTTGTTACATAACAAAACCTAAAAGTGTTTTTTTTTTTTTTTCTTTTGGGACCCACCACGTAGCTCCCACTGAGGCTTATGCCTAAATCCTGGCCTTAGCTTGGCTTGCTTCTTGTCAGCTTTTGTTAACCTAAATTAGCCAATCTACCTTTTGCTTCTGGGCTTTTCCCAATCTCTTACTTCTGTAAATATTACTCTTCCTCCGTGGCTGGCTGTGTAGCTGGGTGGCTGGCCCCTGGAGTCCTCCTTCTCTAGCTACTTCTTCCTCTCTCCCAGATTTCTCCTTCTATGTATTCTCTCTGTCTGCCAGCCCCACCTGTTCTTTCTCCTGCCTTGCTAGTGGCCATTCAGCTTTTAATTAGACCACCAGGTGTTTTAGACAGGCACAATAACACAGTTTCACAGAGTTAAACAAATGTAACATAAATAAAAGTAACACACCTTAAAATAATATTCTACAGAATACCAGATACAATTTTCCTTTTGCTTCTTTTTAGGTTTTTTTTCCTTTTGTATTTTTGAGATTTTTGTTCATTTTGTTTTGTTTTTTTAAGACAAGGTTTCTCTGTGTAACAGCCCTGGCTGTCCTAGAACTTGCTTTATAGACCAGGCCGGCCTCAAACTCATAGAGATCTGCCTGCCTCTACCTCCCAAGTGCTGGGATTAAAGACATTCACCACTACCACTCAGCAAGATTTTAATACAATTACAACTTCCCCTCCCTTTCCTCCCTCCAAACTCTCCAGTATACCCCTCCTTGTTCTCTTTCAAATTCATGGTCTCTTTTTTTTTGTTCATTGATATTTCATGCATATCTCTGTGTGTGCATATGTGTAGATAGATAGATAGATGGATGGATGGATAGATAGATAGATAGATAGATAGATAGATAGATAGATAGATGAATAGATAGAATAGATACATAAGGTCTATATTATGTTACTGATGTATGTTTTCAGGGCTGACCATTTGGTATTGGATAACCAATAAGTATACTCTTCCCTTGCTTAATTTAGTAGGTCCAACTCTCTTGTTGAGAGTCACTGGAGGCAAAAGACACAGTTAAATTGTATTTGTTATATTAGGAGCCCAGGACCATTTTAAGCTAGAAACAACCTGAAACCTAATCCCTTCGGTGCAAATCTCAGACTGGGGAACCACATAGATCACAGTAACCATTATCTGTCACCCTTCAATCAAAGTAGATAACAGCTAATAACACCTCTGGGGTTCAGCCCATGCCACGCACTCATCTAAGGAAAGCCTTACATCTAGAATCTCATCTAATTTTTTGCAACAACCCTGATGCTACTTTTCATTTCCACTTAATAATAAAAGAACATCCTGAGGCACAGAAATGATGTCATTATCCCCAAGGCACCCCCCAAGTCCTCTACAAGGAAAGGACTACTATGGATCTAAAACAGATTTTTCTAAGGTGGGGTATGAACTAGTGACATGGAATCAGTCATAGGACCTAAGGAATTCCAAGAGGACACTATGTAGAAGAGCTTTGGGAAATGGTGACCCAGGGTGTGAGTATGTGTGCAAGAGGACCCAAGCCTAGGAAAGCCCAGCAATAGTGTGGAGGGATCTACACCCATAAATTTATATAAGGCCTCTAGGCAAAGGCTCATGGACAGCACAGGCTTTGTAAATCTGTCTGCAGCAGACACGTGCCCCAAGCAGTAATTGTTCCCTCATTTGGAGGAAATGTATACGGGATAGGAAGTGCAGAATTGGACTTTCTGATCATATAAGTAGTTGAGGTCTTAAGTGGTTTATCAGGAAAATGAAACAACAAAGGTACTATTTGTACATAAATCAATAGTGGCTGCATAACTATTTCTTGACTAGGATTGCTCAGTTTGTAAACTAGTTCCTATGTTTTGTAGGTCACCAGGGTGCAAGGTAGTTGGAATGGGCTCCTTCATCTCTGCTTTTCAGTTGATGGAATTGTCTCTCAAGGAAAGGGTCATAGAACCATCAGAAGGCAGAGCCAAGATGCTAACACACAGCTTCTCTTTCTGGATCCCTAATTCCCTTCCTCTCAGCCATAGCTCTTCTCCATACACATGATAAATGTTGTGATAATTAGAGAGAAGGAGAGAAATGCATTAAGTCAGAACAGAAACCCAAGCAGTAAACATGAGTGACCCATCAAAAGAAGGGCCCCAGATCCTAGGAGGCTAAAGAAGGTCATCATGTTACCAGCTGCTCAGTGACGGCTGCAGGGTAGAGGTGGGAGCCGCGGCTTGATTGATTCATTCTAGCAACTCTTGGTTTCACAGAAAAGTGAGTCTTTGAAAAGTTGTTGATGTATTCCATCCTGTCATTTTTTTAGCAACAAGTTGCTTGGGGCTGATCTAAAAAACATTCTGTTCCTTGATGTAATCCATTCTTACCCAAACTATTTCATGTTCTAAACAAGTCATGGAGATGCTTTTTAGGTTTGCTTGTTTGCTAACTTAAAACAAAGACTGCTGTAAGGTAGCAACCTCAGCTCCACCCTGTCCCCACACCTCACCTCACCTCTCACACACACACATCCCTGCGCATCTTCTGGCCATCTCCCACCTGCTGCTGCCGCTGCTTTGATATAAATATGACTTCTATGAGTGACCAGAAGTATCCGACCCAAACAAGAGCAAGACAACAACTCCTGGCATCAGAAGTCAGCACTCTGGAAGTAATTTTTATTGTGGAAGGGAAGAGAGAAATCACTGAAATGGGAGGAATTCTCATTTCTAGAGTTGTGTTTGGATAACAAATTGCTGAAGCCTAAATATCCACAGATTATTCTGAGTTTATCTTGTTGCGACAGATCCACACGCTGTAATCAATCACGCCGCGTATCCATAAAACAGCTTGATAGTACACATGTATTCTCCTCAAAATAAAGTTGTAGCATTTACACATAATAACTTACTGGGCTGCAGGCTCTGCCTGACGTATGCTCAATATCATCTGACGTTTTATTGGATCCCACACAAATTTTTGCCTAATACAGTCGTTGTAGAGAGAAAAGTTAATTGAAGCTCCCGACTATAGGAAGGAACTTTTATAAGAAGGGGGAGGAACTGTGGCAACCTGCTCTGGGGTCAGCAGAGACGAGAGGGTAGGTTGGGGCATTGAGGGAGATAGAGGAGGTGAGATTTGGAACCTCCATCTGCTGGCCAGGTAGAAAAGGGTAGTTCTCCCCTCCAGACCTCAGCTGACTCATCCACAAGCTGTGTGACATAACCAAATGCTACAATGTAAATTATACAGAGAAAGTGAGAGAGGTTAGACAGAACTGAGATATTATGAGAGGGAGCTTCTGAGCAGACAGTAGGCGTGATTGGCCAGTGTGTCACAGAGAACAGAAGGAAGGCCACTTCTTCTAATCCAGGATGGTGGCTGGTGGTGGCAGAAGAGTGTGGCAAGCAGCTTACAGCTTTCTCCTGTGATTGTCATTCTCGGTCGCAGCTCTGGCCCATTCATTTCTCAACACGTACTAAAATCTGTACAAATATTAGCTATTTGTTGACTTACGTATTATCTCTATCTCTCCACCTCACTTATCCCAGTTCCATGAGGCAGAAGACATGACTGCCTTGGGCATTGTGCATCTGCAGAGCCATGCTCCTACTAGGTGTCTTCCAAAAAAAAAAAAAAAAAAAAACGAATGCATTAATAAATGATTGCAAGGACAAAATAGGTTAGAACGTACCCCTTCTGACCTCTCAGGGAACTGCTGCAGGGGTCCTGCGCTAGGCGGCCTTCTGACTACAGGACCTGTCCTCTGCCTCTCTCCTTATCTCCTTTTGAATTCACTGTCTTGGTGTCCAGGCTTTTAACAGTATAACCAAACTAGAATTAAGAGTCCGTAGTCATGCTGCCCTTTGTGAGCGATGAAGATGTCCCTCTCTGCTCGCTGCTTCCGTCAGGGGAAAGCACATGACCCACAGAGTGACCTGGAGGCACCTTAAGAAAACATCGGGACTAGGAAGTGCCCTGTCAGTAACACTTTCTGTGCCACAGAAGCATCGACGTACTGGTTGTCATCAGAACACCCATGTCATCGCTAGAGCTCGGTCACGTCTCTGCCCCGAGCTGTGCCCTTGAAAGTCCTTATTTGGTCTGAGAGAAAAAAAATGAACATCCATCATTCCAGGATTTTCACAGATGATTTTGACAGGCCCTAAGTCTAAGCCATTTGACAATGGGTGGAGTCTCTCTCTCTGTTTCATTTCTAAGTATGGTTTTTAAATGATCTTTGAAAGAGGCCAAAGGCAGGTAGGGAATGAACGAATGAAGGATCTCTGGAAATAGAATAAATCTTGGACAAAACAGGTAACTCAGAGAGTGAAAGTTTAACAACTGGCCATTCTAGTTTAATGAAACTGAATTTGAATTTTTTTCCTGCCCCTCTCTGCTTCAGGGAATTTTCTAACTGCTAATATTTTGACAGTTATACTTACTCACCAAATCATACTCATCTGTATGGGAAAATAAGAGGGTTGAGCTAACCGTGTGGAATCGACTGACAACTGAACAAAAAAGAATCTATTTTGGGTTTTATCTTCCGAAGAACTTGGAAATTTGCATAGGACAATCCCCTCATGTTCACTCAATGAATGAACATACGTGATTGGCCTTGTCTATGTAACAAGAACTGTGTTCACTGCTATATATGGACCAGTGATGAACGACCATGGTCTTTCTTCATGCTAAGTATTATTGCTTAGAAATAATAACCAGTGAATGATTGGAGTATCTGCAATACAGATAATTTGCCCAAAAAGTTATATACAGTGTCCTGATGTTTAGCCATTCAGTGGTCCCAGGGTTCAACCTCATACCTTAGTGGAAATATTAGTGGCTAAGATTTCACCTAAAGGGTGAGTCTCCTTTGCCCCAGAAAAATATACACACAATCAGGTTGAGTTTAGCTGCAAATTAAGGGACATTTGCCTGGCAATTGGCCTGGCGCTTTGACCTCTCTGCCATGCTAGCTGCCTCGTGCTGAAGTTGGACTTCACATCTTCAAACACCTATTTGTTAGACTTGTTGCTATGGCTGTGAGATGGGGAAGGAGATCCAGGGGCATGCCAGGCACAGGCAGAAGCCAATCAATCTAATGAATCATGCTATGGGGATAATCACTGGTGTTAGGGATCAGGAACCTTCCCATATCAGCTCTTTGTCTGTTGTGTAAAACAACTGGAAATGGCGTGCACTGCCCTGGACCAAGCCAGATCTCGAGTTAGAAGCACAGATTCGAAAACTCAGGGCAAATGCTGAGATAGTCAACTGATTCCCAGCCACATTTTTTTCCTTCACCCCCTAAAGAGACCATCCAGTCTCTTAAGAACATTTCGAGCAGTGGTAGGGTGACACCTGAAGTTGGGAAACATCTCATGTAAGAGGGATTCTATCACCACATGGCAGTCAGAAGTCTTTTCACACCACAGTTCCTACTGCCAAAAGTCCCTCTCTCCCAGCCAGGACCTCTGCTATGCTCAGGAATGGAGGCCTCCCAACTCACTCACTGCACACAGTCTTTCCCCTTAGCTAATCGAAAGCCAAGCTAGGACTTTCCAAAGAAACTCTTATTAAAAATCCCTAGGAGCACAAGGAAGAGAAATAGATGAGTACAATAATGCTTCTCATTTGAACAGCACTTTGCAGTTTTCCGGGCACTCAGGCATTCATCACCTCATTTACCCAGCGTGGCTTCCACCCCCTAACTTAAGTAAGACCTATCCAGACATTGGCACTGGCTCTGCTAACAGTTTTCTCTCTCCCTGCCTCACTGCCGTTTCCCAGATCCAACCCAATATCCTACAACACTGGCAGCCTGAGTGGGGCCCTGAAGAGTCCCCCCCAAAAAAAAATCTAGCTCATTTTCTTAGGACTCAGACAGCCCACCTCTATTCTGGAGACTGTGTCCTGGAAGCACTGGACTGTTGCCAATAGTGGTTCTACATATTGAGGAGAGTCATTCCTTGCTTGCAGGACAGCATCAGGCTTGGTCACTCTCAACCCCCTTGTGGAGAATAATAACAGCTAAGATCACTGGGCCCTTTCTGAGTGCCAGGCCCTGCTTTTTATGTGCATTAACACATTTCCCCCTCGAAAAATCCATCAGGCAGACAGTGAGAGCTCCGCTCTTTACAGGTGACAGAGGCTTTGGAAACACAAGCCATTATTTTGTGTGATAGAGGTAATCAACGGATTGGGTGGGAGGCAGAACAATGAGACTGACCCCATTTCCTCCACAGAGCCACTTGACTGCGTGAAGGCACACATTCAAGACACGTTTCCTAAGTTCCTCCCGAGTGACTGGACACGTAGCCATGGTGCAACAGTGCATTTGGTCAAGGCTCTGTCCTGAGGAGTCCATAGGCTGGCCCTCAGTACCAGGCTCTCCTCCTAGCTATAACAACATAATAGGTGCTGTCACGGTGGTTGGAGCCTTGTCTAGCCCAGAGAAAAATTGCCTAAAGGACCTCACGTCAATGTGTGGGGTGGGGGGCAGGGGGGGGGGGGAGAAGGGTCTTCAAAGCCGGTGGATTTAGAGAGCAGGAGCATAACACATATGGAAATACCAAAGACTCGGTGGCACTGGTCCAGTAGGGAGCAGTGAGCTCTGTGCTGAGTTAAGGGAATTGGGTTTTACCTGAAATCACTGCAACACTGTGAGTGGGTTTTAAGCAGAAGAATGATGCAAAAGGGACTTTCCCTGGAGTTATTTTTTCAAATTAGGTCTCTGCTTCTCATCGTCTTCTTTTCCTGTGTTTGCCGCTTTCCAATAAAGCAGTGTGCTCAAATGGGGACCTTGTTAAGTATGATTCTATGCTTGGGAATTAGCAGAGGTTTCACTGCCCTGGGTGGTGGGTGATGAGATGTTTGTCTCTGTCCCTGCTCTCTCTCACCTTATCAGTGAGCAGAGACGAGTTGATGAAGTGGGTTGGGCCCAACTAGCTGACAGAAACCATATGCCCATCTCTAATGTAGCTTCCATTTGCCCTTGACATAACTTTTCTAATATTCACCTGCATCCTCACGGTGCTCTCAGATGCCCACTACTCACAATGCTCCACTTCTCTGGCAGTAGAGAGTTCCTGTCACCACCAACGATGCTGAGAGCAGCTTAGGCTGCTCTTTTAGAGCCTGAGAAACTCCCCACAGAAGGTCCCAGGCTGAGCTTGGAGGAGCCCAGTCACTGGCATTCCAGAGATGCCTCATGCAGTTTCTATGGGTACTGGGTAGAAAAACAAAAGAAGATGGGGGTGTAACCTACCAGCCAAGCCCACAAAGTCAATTCTGGTAACTGATATGGCTGTGCATGTCTTGGCCAGCTCTTTCTTCTGGCTGGGACTGTATTTTATATTGGTACAAAATGTCCAAAACTCGCAGCTCACAGCTTACAAGTGAACTTGGCTTTGACTGACCTCCTCTTCAGAATCAAGTCCTGTTTTGTTTGCACGGATTAGATGAGACTTCAGGACCTGGTCTCCAACCTGACTATGCTGTGATCTAACCACGAGATATCAAATTGTGGCCATTGCCTTCCTTAGGGTTTGGGATTTAGCCCTTGTACCATGACAGACTCTGCTGAGAACTGCACACAATTCAGTTGTGCACGATGGGTATGCTACACTTCTGTCATCAGTCCTCGAGAGATCCACAGTCCTTCAAAGGTTAATAATCAAGTTTGGAAGGTGCTTGCCCATCTGCACACATTGACCCTGCCACAAATCTCCAAGCCCAAAGCCAGCCCTCCCCACAGGCAGCCTGCCCAATCACATCCAGTTGACCCAACTAATGCAAACATGGCAATAATTTATTTCAGTTCAAAGAAATGCAAATTGGGTTAATATCCCTTTCTCTGAACCATCGCATATTCAGCGCAAACCAATTCATTTCCACAGCAGTGGATTTTTCTAGAAACAAATGATACTCCGTTCTGCACAATTGAAACTCGCACATTTTTTAATGTAACAAACATTTATAAACCACCCATCGCTCCCCCATCCCTCCTTCCTAAAAATACCCATTGCAGCACCAACTTTGAGCATACAGCCTGGCATCCCAGAGTGCCGTATTGTATTTATATAATGGGACGTTTCAATCCCAGTCATCAAATTACTCTGTTTATTATTATCCCCATTTTACAGATAAAGAAACTAGGACACGAGAAGGTCAGCTGACCTGACTTCCCCAAGTCCCACATCAGGGCTGAAATGGAGAATTGTTTCCAGACTTCCAAATCCAGGAAAGAGCAGAAGCAGGGCTGGGTTGCATTTTAGAAAGAAAAAAACAAGTATTTAGGGGTGTCAGTGCCTGTTCTCACTTACAGGGGTGATGCCGACATGACTATGTCCCAAAACCTGGTGAGGGGCTTCCTCGGCCACCTCCTTTAGCACCCCAGTCACACTGGACAGGTCTGTGTGACCACATGTAAAAGTTCTGAGAAGAGAAAGGGAGATCTTGCAAAAATGGGTCTACTTAGAAGTGGCCTGGTGGTCTGGGGCCACTGGCCTTAACAGAAGCTGAACACTCCTGCACACAGGACTCAGCCTCCCCAGCCAGCACCTTTCTGCATCTCTTCCCTCCTCCCACATTCCAGGCCACTTGCTTATAGACTATCAAGCCTCTCTCCCATGGGCAGTGGGTTCTACCAGCCCTGATTGCCACCAATTATGGCAGCTACTACCCCTCTTTCCAGATAGTCCGCAGCTTGGAACAGTTCAACTTGAGCATAGTTCTACTTTATGTTGGTGCAGAAGCAGTACGCATTCAGTAGAACTAAATTCAGGTCTCTTTCCCAGCAGAGAACTTCTTTCTAGCAATGCTGAGCATGGAGGTAGGCCACAGGTTCTAGTCAGTCCCTTGAATCCAAGGAAAAATTAGCCCATCTGTCGACCTTTGGGACTCCTCTTTGTTTTACCTGTAAAACAGAGATGATAACAAACAGGAAAACTTGATGCCTGAGCATCAAAGTGTCCCATTGCATAAATACAATATGGCATCTCAGGGTGACTGGCTATAGGCTGTATTGTTAAGGCAATTGGTTAAATGTATTAAAGACATTTTCAGCTTATAATGTTTTCAATTTGGATGGTTTGGGGGTAAGGAGCCCCAACCTAAGTTACATACTTGCACAGGCAATTTAACCTGACAACATAGATCTTAATTTAAAGAAGTAAGCCCTGAAAGTAAGAATATCATTGGCCCTTTTCCAGCCCCATGTGGAGGAATCTAGAAATTTATTGGGGTCGGCCAAGGTGGCATGTCCAGGCAAGTACCTCCTACCCAAGAGCTGCCCATGATCTGTCCAGCTGCAGGTTCATTTTGTCTACACACACATACACACACACACACACACACACACACACACACACACACCTGCCCAGAGCATGCCCCTACTGAGGTCCAGCCTGAAGTCTCCAACGCCCTGGACCTGGATGGGGTCAGCCAGCGGTTGTGTGGGATCCACAGCATCAGCACTCTCCCACAGCACAGTGAGTTATTAATAAACACGCTGCTTCGAGCATTTGCTCACGATTGTTTGATATTTCAGTTTTCAGTAATTTTCTCAGTTAATAATTTATTAAATGGATTATTTGTCATTTCAATTTATTAAAAATTGATAAAGGTCTCATTTCTTTTTCCCAAGCTAGGACACAGGAGATATATACAGGCCAGAGCACAAATTAAAGACCCCATAATCTCTTTCCTTCCCCCTTTTTCTGTGTAGCCACTGCCCAGTAAAGACCCAAGGGTCCCTTTACTGGTGTCTCCATTCTTAGAGTTCTGCTCCTAGTTGAGTGACAGGAATGGAGAAGCATGCCCCACCACTCCAACCATCCCCACACACAGGGATTCTTAGCTCAGCTAATTTGCTCTAGCCATAGAGAAAGCAAGATCTCAGCCTCTGGCTTCTCAGCCCAGTAGAGAAAAGGCCTAACACATCACTCAACATGAGAACTTGCAGCCATGCTCAACATGGCCATTTGCTGTCCGCTCTCCTCTGGGGCAAAACCAACCCTGGCAGTCCCCTCTCTGGCCATGGGTGCTATGGGTGAATCTGCACCTTCAGTCTTCTGATTACCATGCCTGAGTTTAGGGAATGAGCAGGAAAAGACTCTTGAGGGAAGAAAGCTAATGAGACAGGTTTCTGGGATCTGCCTCTCTTCCTCCTCTCTGTCCTGCCTCCTGGGTCTCCACTCAACACCTGCTCTTAATTGCTCCTCTCCATGCTCTAGCTGACTCCCTTTTGCTTTTCTTTCTCCTCTTCCTGGTTCTCTGTTTCTCTTTCCTGTCACTCTCTTCGTGTTCATTCTCCTTTCAACTCCTTTCCTTTCCTCTCTCGACTCTGTGGGCCTCTACTGTTTCACAAGGGCTAAAGGTCCCCCATGCTTCTGTCTGTGAACTTGGCCTCATTGAAATGGCTATGGAGGTTTGTCACCAGTGTCCTAGGGTCAACACAGCTCTGTAGTTCTTTCCAGGCTGAGAGCGGAGTCCTGGGGCCAGGACATATGCATAAGTCCTACCTTCTGCTCTCAGAGTGTCCACCCTACCACAGCTAGAAGAAGCAACAGTGTCTTCTGGACCAAAGATGGCACTCTTAAAGATCCACCCAGGCCCTGGTGGATACATAATGGGCAGAAAGAAAGGAGAAAAACCTGGGCTGGCAGGTGGGTGCCTGGAAAAGCTACAGCTCTCAATGTCACGTTAACCAGCAGCGTACGGTCATCATTTTGCCATCTCTATCTGCCTTCGCCAGCTCCTTGAGATCCCGTGTATCATTGCTTTCCAGAGCACTCTTCCCCAGGATGAGTTTAATGGCCTTATAAAAGTCACATTGTGCACAAATTGGGAAGTTTCTGAAGCACCAAGTCAGCTCTCATGCATATACACTCGCAAAGTTCCCGCAGCTGAGCAGAGAAGGCAATTCCAGACACGAAAACATCCTTGGGTAAATTACTTCCTATTAGTATGTCACATATTTCTTAGATATGACTGTAGTTCCAGGAGGTGACAGCAGCAGTTGGCAATAAAACTTTGCACTCTTTTTTATTTATATTTTCCCAGCCTTTCTATTTTGTTTCTTCACTTTTGTTTGTGGGTTTTTTTTTCTTTCCCTTCTATAGTGCATAACAGCACATATGGCTCCTCATCTTAGCTTTGGGGAAATGGTGACCCCAAAGCTTGTCGTATTCCCTCTTTGGGGCTATCCAAAACATCCAATGCCAAGAACCAGGAAGGGACTTCTGAGGAGTGTCATAGCATCATTTAGACAGAAAACTGGGGTGCTCCCATAGTCCTTCTAATTCCTCCCTTATCCACAAATTTCTTGTCTCACTCCAAAACCATATTCTCCACTCAGCACACAGACCACAGCTGTATGAGGTAGGGGAGGCAAAAGAGGAGACTGGTTCATGTCTAGTTTCTAGGTATACCCCTTCAAGTGCCCTAGTCTATCAGGCCCATCCAAACATTGACATTGTCATTTACAATATTCACAATCAAGAACCCTACAATCGAATTACAAAAAATAATTACAAAAAAGGCTCCCCAACTAGTCACCACATGCTAACAAATAAAAATCACAATATCAGAAATGTGTTACCTTTTTTTGAGTTGTGGTCAATGGTGTCCCATTTAGACCTACCTCAATACTACAGGCCAGTACGCTTGGTTACCCTCCAGATCTTGATGGAAAGACCCCATCACTGAAGACACCACCACACAGATAAAAAATTAAGCTGGTAATGACTTCATCCTTACTAGCTATCTTTCATGGTACTATAAGGTGCTGTGAACACCACTGGAGGAGAAAAGTAATCGTCGTAATTCTTATCCATCTGTGAATGCTGTGAGCTACAGTAATGACTAACCTAGGAAATATGCTCACTGCTGTGATAGTGGCATGAATGTCATGGAAGCAATCAACCAATTCCCTATTGGATCTAAAACCCACTCCATGAGATGGAATTCATACCTGGTACCATTATTGAAGCCAAGAACCCATGGCTAGATCGACCCTAGGGGACAACGTACTACTATGATTTTGCTAAAAAGCCATAGCATTAAAATGACTCCTAATGACTTTTTGCTCTACCTGTAGATTATGGCATCTCTCAACCCTCGTAGGAGAAGCTTCTTCGTGTATTAGATGGCAACTAACACAGAGACACACAACTGGTCAGTGTGCAGAGAATAAGAGACTGTGGAGTAATCGGTCGTAAATGGGCCATCTTTTATATCATGCTCCTCCCTTCAAGGTTCAGGGATAATCGCAAAAGAGGAGACAGAAACAGCATAAGAGCTAGAGGTGGTGAACGAGCACAAGGAAACAGCGTTTTCTGGATATAGCAGCGCATTTGCAAGGGTGAACCCACAGCAACTGTGAGAGTGTGCACAAGACCTGTGCAAGCTCAAGCCGGGTTAAATTCTAGCATGGAGTGGGAAAAATGAATGTGAATTCCCAGCCTTAACTAAGGGGCTACTGGTAATTGATAATTACTAGGAGAAGGAGGGTCAGTTTTCCTTAAGACTGTGACCCCTGGTCGGTCAACCATGCTCCAAGTCAGGGGCCACTCCCATGGGATTTGTGCAATACAAATTGAGTTTGGGGTTTAAGAAAGAGAGAGAGGACATGAAGTTGGGTGGGTAGGGATGGATCTAAAAGGAGTTATGAGAGGGAATTAATATGATCAAAATGTATCATATGAAACTGTCAAACTAACAAAATTATTATTTTAACATCTCATAATGTTTAAAGTAGTTTTATGGTTTTGTGTTGGGCCACATTTACAGCTATCCTGGGAAACATGTTTTCACATAAAACAGATAGAGAGTGACCAAATGAACATGTTAACAGGAACATGCTATACCAACTAAATTAAAGGAGACCCAATCACATTAACAGATGCTAGGACCAGAAGCTAGGCTTTTGTTACAGTTAGAGCACAGAGCCATTGGGAGCTGGGATCTGCACACTAGATTCAAAAAAAGATGTTACTCTTTGTCAACATTGTATCTGGATGAAGAATGAAAAGTGAACCTCTGGCTAAAGTATCCAGCAGGGAATTATTAATGATGATCAAAATATTGTCCCAAGATCTAAAGAAGTCCCTCCAGCCCAGGGTGTGTCCTGTTTGCCAGGCTTTGGACTAATGTAGAATGCATGAGTGCCTCTACCTTGTGCTAACATCCACCATGTTAAGTCCCCAGTCCCTCATCTTTGACACTAGACTAAATTCAAGGACAGGCCCAACTATCTTTATCCATGTTGGCAATGCTTGTCAAGCACATGGTCTCTTGGGAGCCTCTATGTCCTCCAGAGATGGTATCAAACTTTTCAGCTCTATAGTCTAGTCCCTCCTCCCACAGTGTGAAAGATTCAGAAAGCCACCCTGTCCACCTGGGCTTTAGATCTCTGGCCCCATGGGCTTCAACCCTCTGATGCCAACGCTCTCATTCCGAAAGCCTGATCCCCAGCACCAACTATTGAGCCAGTGGTAGCCTTTTTCCTGCTCCTTCCCAACAGAACTCAACTCATTCTGATTCTCAGACACACAAGCCTCAACACTTACCTTGCTCACATTCATAGAAGAAGAGGTTTCCTTGTCCTGGAGTATTTTGATCCATCTCTGGAGAAAGAGGATAATCTAGGCTCTAAAATAAACAGAAGAGCTGAAGAGGTGGATCATTAAGGCGTTTGTATTGGCAGAATGAATATCTGAATCTGATATCCAGAACCCATGTTTAAAGAAAAACAAATAAATAAACAAACAAACAAAAAGGCATTCTAGTGCATACACTTGGAATCCCAGCACTGGGGAGGTAGGAACAAGTGGATCCCTGGGGCTTGCTCTTCAGCCCATCTAATCAAATTGGTGAGTTCCAAGTAAAAGTGGTCTCCAAAACAGAAAAGTGAACAGTGTCTAGAGGAGCAACATCCAAGGTTGACCTTTGGCTTACACACACACACACACACACACACACACACACACACACACACACACACACACACATATACACACACCCTAACCTGTGCAGACATACACTTAATTAATTAGTCAATTAATGAATTGAGCATCAGAACCATGATTCAGACAGTGGTGATTCGTTGATAGGGAAACAGTGAAAATGTGATAGCTGATGAAAACAGAAGCTTGGGGTTCATGGAAAATGAGGTCATATTTTACATAAGGGAGCAAATAAATAGGGATAGATTATGGAGCAATGGTTAAAAGAGGAAAGAAGAGGCTAAACCATGGTGACTGTCATTGCTTTTTAATTCATAAGCTAACAGTTTTAGTTTGTCATCTTGTGGTGCTAGGAATTAAACCTAGGACCCTGCACACAGGAAGCAAGCCATCCTCAGATCCTTCACGGAGAGCTTCGATACAACCTCCAGAGTCATTGTAACAATCAGGTGGAAAACCACATGACTACAGAAAGTTTAAAACACTGCCATATAAGCTCCTTGATTGTGAATTGTCCTCCCCTGTGTCTTTTTTTTTTTTTTTTTTTTTTTTTGGTCAATGTAGATTCATCGTGAATATTTTAGGACCCTGTAGACCTCAATTCTCTACCACTTATAATTCAAAATTGCATCTCCCCCTGCCTTCTCCCAGGACTCTTAATTTCTCTTCTCTCTCCACCATTATTTATTTAAGCCTCCTAACTGTATTATTTATTTTAACACCATATCTGTATTATTTATTTTACTGTAGCTCCATAACGATATTATTTAAGTCTATAAAATAAAGCTTTCTCCCTTGAACTCTCTGTGCGAAGTAAAATTGTATTGTACTGAAACACTCTTTGAAATGCCCTTCTTTGCCACTGGGTAATAATAATAACACTTTGCATTTATACAGTACCTTTCATCCTGGGATTATTTAAGTCTGCAAAAGCAGTTTGTCTGAATTCTCTATGCAAAAATCAAGTTGTATGCTAATATTCTTTGAGATGCTCCTTATTTCTCACCACTTGCTACTAAAAAAATAAAATCTGTCTTTGTGCACAATGTTCTGTCTTTCTCCATGCATGAAATCCAAAGCAGTTCCCTCACTGATGCTTGCCTATATAGGCATGGCAGAGTAGATCTGGCCCTCACTTCCTAAGTGGTGAAAGGGGAGCAAGAAGACTACCAGACAGAAAATGTGGGGGAAATCAGAAGACACTGGGAGAAAGCGTGTCCACCTGGTTCTTCTCTGCCACCAAAGAGCTTCTCACAGCCTGCTACCTCAACTACCAGCATGTATCCAGTGTACGCTGATGGAGTCCTGGAGCTGGGCTTCCTGATGTAAACCCTCTCACTCCAAGTGCCACACTCAAGACCAGTCCCTTCCACTCTGGAAACCTCTGTTGGTTCAACTGCTCAGCATCTTTTCACACCACCACCATTTGCTCAGACTCAAGCCATCCTTCCCACTCAACACCACTTGTCCATCCTTGACTGACCCTAGGTTCATCTCCAGGAAAGAATATTTTAGTTTTTTCAAGTTGATGATACAACAAACACCAAAGATTAATTGTCTAATGAACAGCAAGTTTATAGTTCTGGTGGCTGGAAAGTCTAACCTGCAAATGATACCTTCTCATTATATCCTCACATAGTGAATGACCTCCCCTGTTTCTTTATTGTGTGTGTGTGTGTGTGTGTGTGTGTGTGTGTGTGTGTGTGTGTGTGTGTGTGTGTGTGTGTGTATGTGCACATATGTGTTTGGGTATGTGCCACAATGCTGGTAAAAGGACAACTCCCTGGGTTGATTCTCACCTTCCACCACGTGGATTGCAGGAATTAAGCGTTGATTGTCAACCTCGGCAACAATCTTTTTTACCCATAAAGCTATCTCATCACCCTCCTTTGGGCTTATTTTACAAGGGTACTAAACACTCTCGTGAGAGTTCTACCCTTGTGAGCTAATGACCTGACCAAAGGCTCTACCTTCTAATACTATGACATAGAGCTTGGGGTTTCTAACATGAGTTTTGAAAAACTATGAAGCCTCAGACCTTAACAAAAAGTTTTGATAGCCCTTTAGATTCTCCATGATAATAGCTGGTATCTATTATCCTTGGGAGCTGAGGAATGTGTGAGGGTATATTTGGTTACGTTTTGAGATCAATTCACACAATCTCATTCTATACCTCTGGCTGTCCTGTAATTCACTGTATAGCTCAGACTTCAAATTCATAAAACTCCTGCCTCAGCTTCCAAAGTACCACCCACCCTTGGCTGTCCATTTTTTTCTCAAGGTTCTTTTTGAACCTTGAGTTCCAGGCAACGTATCTAAGGGGCTAAGCCATATTTACTTCTCATGGTTCTTCACCCTATCTTTTAGTCAACATATTATGGTTGGTTTCATCCAACAAGTCTTCACTGAGTCTCGTGTTACTGTTCTCATTGCTGTGACAAAAACACCTGGCAAGAAGTTATGTGAGCGTGGGAAGTTTGCTTCAGCTTCCAGGTCAAAGGGATGAGAGAAAGGCATGGCAGCAGGAGCTTGGGGCAGCTGCTCACATCGCATCCACAGGGAGAAAGCAGAAGGTGGTAAATAACGATGTTCAGCTCACTTGACTGCTTTTTATCCAGCTCAGGACCCATGGGACAGTGTCACTGAAGGTTACAGTCTCCCCATAGCAAATAACTCAATGTAGATGAACCCTCGGAAGCATGCCCAGAAATTGTCTCCTAATGAGTCTAGGCCTTACCAAGTTGACAAGTAGAATTAATCAGCACAAGGATCTGTTATATAAAAGGCACCTGTGTGGTTTGACAGAAAATGGCCCTCAAAGGGAGTGGCACTATCAGGAGGTATTATTGGATGGAGTAGGTGTGGTCTTAGAGGAAGTGTGTCACTATGGAGGCAGGCTTTGAGGTCACATATATGCTCAAGCCACACCCAATGAGACTGTCTACTTCCTGTTGCTTGCATATCAACATTTAGCAGCTATCTCTCCAGAACCATGCCTACCTGCATGCCAGCCTGTCCCACCATGATGATAATGGACTGAACCTCTGAACTTTAAGCGAGCCACCAAAAATAATTGTTTTCTTCATAAGAGTTGCTGTGATCATGGTGTCTCTTCACAGCAATAGAAACCCTACTGAAAACAGCACACTTTTTGGTCCTAAGAACACAACCATGAACAAATTATCCAGTAATCTCAGAGCTAAAATTCTTGTGGGGGAAATGTTCACTGCCAGTCCATAAAACTCAGCTATAGGATGGCTCATCTATGCATCCTCTCAAAGCTCTGAACACAGCCTGGTGTACAAAGCAGGGAAGCAGAAGATACTTTCTGCCTGATTTAAAACTGTTAATTGTAAGGGTTAGTAATGCAGCTTATCTGAAGACTGCATTCCTAGCATGCACAAAGCCCTGAGTTCCACCCTCAGCACCACATAAAATGCAAATAGTGGAGCATCCCTTACAATCGCAGCACTTGGAAGGCAAAGGCAGGAGGATCAAAAATCCAAGGCCATTCTTAGCTACATAGTAATTTCAAGGCCCACCTGGGATACATGAGGTCCTGTCTTTAGAAGTGTGTGAGTGTGTGTGTGTGTGTGTGTGTGTGTGTGTGTGTGTGTGTGTGAGAGAGAGAGAGAGAGAGAGAGAGAGAGAGAGAGAGAGAAACAGACAGAGAGAGAAACAGAGAAAAAGAGAGAGAGAGAGAGAGAGAGAGAGAGAGAGAGAGAGAGAGAGAGAGAGAAAGAGAGAGAGAGAGAAGGAAATACAAGACTTCAAAATAATTTTAACATTTTTTTAGTTCACAAAAAGACATTTTTAGAAAGTTGCCTCAATGAGGCTGAAGAGATGGCTCAGTGATTAAGAGTAAATACTGCTCTTGAAGAGGACCAGAGTCCTATTTCCAGACCCCACATTGGTGGTTCACAATCACCTGTAACTATAAGTCCAGGAGATCTAAAGTCTCTAGTCTCTGCAGGCACTGGCACGCTCATGCTTATACACACACACATACACGTATCTAAAAGTAAAATAAATATTTTCTAAAGATAGCTGCCTTTAGTTTCTAACTAGTTATCAAGCTCCTAACTATCCTTCAGTGTTTTTGTGCAACGGATGTAACTCTTTACAGAAGTACACCACTAAAAAGGATCCACACACCACAGTCCTTCTATTATCCACTATGAGATGAGTTGGCACCTTTCAGGGTCCCAGGCAAAAGCAATGGGACAGTCATTCAAAGTGGCAGCACCATGCCCAGCCAGCAGGAGTGGCTCGCTAAACCACAATGCAGCAGGCTTTCCCATCTTAAAGCTCTGATCTCCACTCTGAGTGACGTCTCTGTTGAGGGGGTGTCTGACCTCTCTGGAAGTTTCCTTTCTTGAAAAGATACTGGAGCAGAGGAAAGCGGCTTGTCTTCTGTGGTTGGTGAACCAGCCCCAGACATGACACAGCTTTCACCACAGGCACTGAAAATCACTTTCATTTGATGTTTTTCCCTTCACTGCATCTTGCCTGCACCTACTGCATCCTCTCAGTCCTGTGCGCTCTCTGTGTATCTTGTGTTGTATCCTTTTGGTTCCTTGTTCTTCCTCAGGCTTCTCCATCTTGATCAATGTGCAGGCCAATAATGCTTCTTACCACATCTCAACACCATCCTAGGTGCCAAGAGGAAGAAGGACAAGGACACAGTAAATTTTCAGTAAACGTTATTCTCAAGTAGCAGGGTTGAGTGGAATATATGAAGTTGTTACAATTGTCTTCATTTTAATAGATGATAAAGGGAGATCTGCTCTTCTCCAGCTCCCTTGATTTCTACCTTGTTTTGATCCTTTTCCTACAAAAATGTGACACTTCCCTAAATCTTCCTGCCATGTGTCCTTCCTCAGTACCTTTTCAGGGCCCATAATTACAATAAAAAAAAATTATGCATTAAGGGGTAGCCCACATTCCCCTCCATGCAAGAACACAGTCTAGGGAGAGATATAAGAAAGAAAACTAAAATGCTGTGTGAAATTGCATGAGATGAGTATGGGGTCTTCAAGGACCATGTTACTGCAGTCTCCTAAACTAGTTATGCCATTGCTTTCTGGCACTGTGAGCCAATGATAGCAGTGGGGAGACAGAACACACCAGGCAAGGGAGCAGTCCAAAGGTCCTGAGATTCACAAATAATGTTCAAAAGCTACAATTGTTCAGAGTTTCGAGAACTGGGTCAGATCTTGAAGAAGTTTCTAAGCTCTGCTAAAGAGTGAGGACATTGCCCTGAGGTTACGAGAAAATATCAGAGCCACTGAAAGGAGAGAATGGTGTGAGCAGGCACAAAGAAAGCGCCAGTGAGCACGCCAGTGAGTGCTGGAAGGAAGCCCAGGGGAGCTGAGGGAGGGGTGAGAGATAAGAAGACCTGTGAACAAAATGAGAGAGGATTTGTTTATGGAATACTGTTAAAATGTTCTAAAAATAATCGTGTGTGTAGAAACCACTAGAGATGTCCACAAAAATAACTGTTAGTGCCAATAAACTCAGCAAGTTGGATACAAAAACAACATACTCTATGCACTAAAAAGGAGCAATATGTTACATTTCCATACTCTAACAAAGAACAACCCAAAAAAGTAAATAATAAAACACTTTATTGTATTAAAAAAAAAAAAGAGCCAGAAGGTGGTGGCCCATGCCTTTAATCCTAGCACTCTGAAGGCAGAGGCAGGCAGATCTCCATGAGCTTGAGGCCAGCCTGATCTACGTAGTGAGTTCCAGAACAGCCAGAGCTACGTAGTGATATCCTGCCTTGAAAAAAAGAAAATGGAGAGAGAGAGAGAGAGAGAGAGAGAGAGAGAGAGAGAGAGAGAGAGAAATTTGAAAATAAATTTAACCAAAGAAGCACAAAAGACTTACATGTAAAAACAAAAGGCTATCCCAGAAAAAAAAAAATTTTAAGGTAAAAGGAAATGCATCCCATATTCATAGAGTAAAGGCCTCAATGTTTATTAACATGTAAACTATTATTCAAAGTGCCTACAGATTTAATGTGGTCACTATCAATATCAAAATCTCAATGGAATCTTGTATAAAACCAGAAATTTTTATTTTATACAGAGTCAGAAGGAAATCCAAACAATCAAAACTATTTGGAAGAGCATTATACTTTCCGATTTCAAAACTCACCACAAAGCTACCGGAATCAAGCAGTGTGGGACTGGCAGCCAGCTGAGAGCAAAGACTGAGGCATACATAATGAGCTCGCCAACCCTCACCTGTATGCTGGATCATTTTTGACCAAGGTTCCAAGACCACTCAATGGAGATGTGGAAGGCTTTCAAAATATAGTCCTGAGAAGAAGAGACTGTGGAGCGCTGAGCCCTAAATGGGGCATCCATAGCACACCCTTTCCCACTCCAGGCTCAGGAATCTTCTTCCAGGAAGAGGGGACAGAAATATTACAAGATCCAGAGACAGCTCAAGGAAACCATGCTTTCCAGACACAGGAGGGCAGGCACACACAGAAACTGACAGTACATGTGACAGCATGCACAAGACCCGTCAAAGCTCAAACCAGCAAACAATCCCAGTACGGAGAAGAATACACACACACAACACCCCAGGCTGAGAAGCTACTAACAACTGAGAGCTGTTGGAAAAGGGAGTTTTCTTTAAGTATGTGGCCCCAGGTAGGTTGATCACACTCTGCGGCAGGTCCCCCTCCCTAAAGTAGTTAGGCAACACAAACTGGATTCTATGAATTAAAAAAAAAAAAAAAAGATGAAAACTAGAAGTTGGGTAGACATTGAGATGAAGGTGGAGAGTGTGGATCTGAAAGGAGATGGAGCAGTGGGGTAAATGGGATCAAAACACACTGCACAAAATTTTCAAAGGATTAATAAAAATATATTTTTAAAACATAATAGTGCTGGGGAAATATCCACAGTGGGGAGATGAAGTTAGTTGTAGTATATATATGAAAATTCCACCCTAAATCATATAATCTAGAACTATTTTATTAAATCAGAAGAAAACTAGAAAAAGCTTTATAACATTTAATCTATCAGTGGTTTCTTGGAGAAAGCACAGTGATAAAGGTGAAGACAGAAAAACTAGACTTTCCAGAACTAAATGTCCCCATGCATCAGAGAACACAATCAATAAAGCACACTAGCAGTTCGTACAATGTGATGAAATATTTGAAAGGAGCATATCTGATAATAGGTTAATATCTAGAATACAAAAGTATCTCTACCACTCAAAAAATACTTGACTGAAATAGACAAAGGACCATCCCGTTCTCTTATGTTCTCATTCCCCATTCCCTACCCTCTCGAGCTGGAACAGGGACTGAGTGGGAAAGCAATGAAAGAGATATCTTGCTAGAGGGAGACATCATGGGGATAAGGAGAAATCTGATGCTAGGGAAGTTCCCAGGAATCCACAAGGATGACCCCAGATTAGACTACTAGCAATAGTGGAGAGGGTGCCTGAGCTGGCTTACTCCAGTAATTAGATTGGTGAATACCCTGTCACCATAGAGCCTCCATCCAGCAGCTGATGGAAGCAGATGCAGAGATCCACAGCCGGGTACCAGGCCAAGCTCCAAAAGTCCAGGTGAAGAGAGGGAAGAGGGACTCATTGTAAGGAGCATCAAGATCAAGATGAGGAAACCTACAGAGATAACCAAACCAAACTAGTGGGAACTCATGAACTTTATAGACCAACAGCTGTGGAGCCTGCATGGGACTAGACTTGGGCCTCTGCATAAGTGAGACAGTTGTGTAGCTTGGTCTGTTTAAGGGGCCCCTGGCAGTGGGATCAGGATCCATCCATGGTGCATGAGCTGGCTTTTTTAATGTCCTATTACTATAGGTAATGGGACATTACACTATAGGTAATGTCCCATTATCTATAGTGGGACCCGTCACACAGCCTTAATGCAGGGAGAGGGGCTTGGACCTGCCTCAACTGAATGTATCAGGCTTTTCTGACTTCCCATGAGAGGCCTTACTTTTTCAGAGGAGGGGATGGGGGTGAGTTGTGGGGGGAAGGCTGAGGGGGAGCAGGAGGAAGGATGAAAGGGGGATCTGTGGTTGGCATGTAAAATGAATAAAAAATTTCTTAATAAAAAATATATTAAAAAGAAACAAAGGAGCAAAATATTTCTCAAAATAAGGTCTACACACAGCCAAGAAGCCCATGACGAAAATCCTCCTATCTCTAATAGCTAGAAAAATTAAAATCAAAACCATGGTGACACATCCTCACAAACTGAACTACAGACTGAGTTCAAAGCCAGTCTAAGCAACTTAGTGAAACCCTATCTCAAAACAAACATAGAGGGCAGAGGCTATAGCTCAGTGGTTGACTGCTTGTCTAACGTGTGGGGCCCTGGGTTCAGCCACTACATGAAGAAATAAATACAGCTTTGTTTAAAAAAATGGAGGAATTAGAATTTTTGAATGCCTGTGTGTTGGTGGGAGCCCCTGATGGTATGGCAGCTGTGGAAAACTGTCTTTCATGTCCATAGAAATAAGATCACTCTATGATCCAGCAACTTCATACTGGGCTTTGAGAGACACATCTGTGCTACCCAGTGTTCTTCTGCTGTGACACAAAGCTGAGCAAAGCTCTGTGCTTGGCTACAATTTCAGAGTTTTGACTTCATAGTTGCTTGGTCCCATGGACCTGAGGAGAGGCCATACGTTACGGTGGGGATCATGTGGTGGAGAAAACTGGCTCACCTCCAGACATCCAGGAAACAGACAGAAGAGAGGGTGCCAAGGACAACATATGTCCTTCCAGGCTACCCAGTGGCCCCTTCTTCCAACTATCCCCCAGTTTCCACCACCTGAGAACAATGTTATCAAATCATGAGCCTATCAATGGCTAAATCATTGATTAGGTCAGAGCCCTCGTGATGTGACCACTCACTAAAGCATTGCATTGGGGGCAAATCCTCCAACAAATACATTGGCCTTCAGGGGACATATAACATCCAAACCATAATCCCCAACAGAGTTGAAAGCAGGGTCACAAAAAAACACCTATATGGTCCTGTTCACTGTCTCAGGGTTCATGATAACCAAAAGGTGGAAACAAGTAAGCTATCTACACAGATAAGTAAATAAATAAATGGGGAAACCATGGAGTATTAAAAATGACAGAAATTCTAACACATCCCAAGGACGTTCTGCTCGGTGAAATAGGACAGTCACCAAGATAAACACTTTCTGTTTCCACATCTATGGTGTACTAAATATATGAAACAGAAAGCAGAATGGTTGCTAGGCACTGGCATGGAGGAGAGTTGTAGCTTAATGGGCACAGTTTCAGTTTTCCAAGATGAAGAGTTCTAGAGATTGGCTGCAAAGCAATGTGAACGTGCTTACCACTGCCCAACTGTGTACTTACACATGATTAAGAGGGTAAATTTCAAGTTGTTTGTATTTTACCACAATTTTTTAAAAACTGTAATGCCTTCGAGGAAAATTTTATTTCTAAAAGAATGCTGCTGGTGCTCGGTTTTGTTTCGAGATCTCAACACCAGGTCATTTTCTTCTCTTGCACAATGTTAGGCATATTGCTAACACCCTCCTCAGAGTACACAGAGGGATGGACATGGCTGTCCAATAAAAGGATAACCCCAGATCTCCATCACTACAGCTAAGGA